CTAGCACTTTTTTTATTAACTGGCCCAGAAGAATTGAAATTGGTGTTGAATAGACACTATTTACTTTAGACATTTTTTGAATTAATTGGAATGAATCCAGAAATATCTGGGAAAAGTATTTTTATGTTTATTAATTGTCTATGTCTTTAAGAGGATTCATACTAATACTTATTTTATCAACCGACTAAAAGAATTTCTACTAGCCCAGAAAAATTGGAATTGGTGTTGAATAAGCACTATTTACTCTGGGCATTTTCTTGAATTGATTGTGATAAATTCAAAAATACCTGAGAAATAGATTTATTCTAGCTTTTCTTTTATCAACCGGCCAAAAGAATTTTTACTAGTCTAGAAAAATTGGAATTGGTGTTAAATAGATACTATTAAACCAGGCATTTTCTTGGATTGATTGTGATAAATTCAGAAATATCCAAAAAATAGATTCATTCTAGCACTTCTTTTATCAACTAGCCCAGAAGAATTGGAATTGGTGTTAAATATTCTATATATTTTCTTGGATTGATTGGAATGAATCCAGAAATATCCAGGAAATAGATTCATTCTAGCACTTCTTTTATTAACCAGCCCAGAAAAATTGGAATTGGTATTAAATAAATACTACAGTATTTACTCCAGACATTTTTTTAGATTAATTTGAATGAATCCAGAAATATCTGAGAAAACTATTTTTATGTTTATTAATTGCCTATATCTTCAAAAGGATTCATACTAATATCTATTTTATCAACTGGCCAAAAAAATTTCTATCAGCCTGAAAGAATTAGAATTGGAGTTAAATAGGCATCATTTACTTTGAGTTTTTTCTTGGATTGATTGTAATAAATTTAGAAATATTTAGGAAATGAATTCATTCTAGTACTTCTTTTATCAATCAGCCTGAAAGAATTGGAATTGGTGTTGAATAGACACTATTTACTTCAACCATTTTTTTGGATTGATTGGAATGAATCCAGAAATATCCAAAAAAGTATTTTTATATTTATTTTTAAAAGGATTCATACTAACACTTATTTTATCAACCAGCAAAGGAATTTTTACTGGCCCAGAAGAATTAGAATTAGTATTGAATAGGCACTATTTACTCTGGGCATTTTCTTGGATTAATTGTGATGAATTCAAAAATATCTGAGAAATAAATTCATTTTAGCACTTCTTTTATCAACTGGCCAAAAGAATTTTTACCAGTCTGAAAAAATTGGAATTGGTGTTAAATAGACACTATTAAGCCGAGTATTTTCTTGGATTAATTGTAATGAATTTAGAAATACCCAGAAAATAAATTCATTCTAGCACTTCTTTTATCAACCGGCTTGGAAAAATTGAAATTTGTGTTAAATAGACACCATTTACTCTAGACATTTTTTTGAATTGATTGAAATGAATCCAAAAATATTTGGGAAAAGTATTTTTATATTTATTAATTGTCTATGTCTTTAAGAGAATTCATACTAACACCTATTTTATTAACCAGCCAAAAGAATTTCTACTAGCCTGGAAGAATTGGAATTGGTGTTAAATAGGTACTATTTACTCTGGGTTTTTTTTTGGATTAATTGTAATGAATTCAGAAATATCTGGGAAATGGATTCATTCTAGTACTTCTTTTATCAACCAGCTCAGAAAAATTGGAATTGGTGTTGAATAGACACTATTTAATTTGGACATTTTTTTGGATTGATTGAAATGAATTCAGAAATATCTGAAAAAAGTATTTTTATGTTTTTTAATTGGCTATGTCTTTAAAAGAATTCATATTAACACTTATTTATCAACTAGCCAAAAGAATTTCTACCAGCCTGGAAGAATTAGAATGGATACCATTTACTCTAGACATTAATTGTGATGAATTCAGAAATATCTAGAAAATAGATTTATTCTAGTACTTCTTTTATTAACTAGCTCAGAAGAATTGGAATTGGTGTTGAATAGACACTATTTACTCCAGACATTTTCTTGGATTGATTGAAATAAATCCAGAAATATCTGAAAATAGAAAAGCAAAGATTAGTATTTTTATATTTATTAATTGTCTATGTTTTTAAAGGAATTCATACTAATACTTCTTTTATCAACTGGTCAAAAGAATTTCTACTGGCTGGAAGAATTGATATTGGTGTTGAATAAGCACTATTTATTCGTAATGAATTCAGAAATATCTGAGAAATGGATTCATTCTAGCACTTCTTTTATCAACCGGCTCAGAAGAATTGGAATTGGTGTTAAATAGACACCATTTACTCTAAACATTTTTTTAGATTGATTGAAATGAATCCAGAAATATCTGGAAAAAGTATTTTTATGTTTTTTAATTGCCTATGTCTTTAAGAGGATTCATACTAACACTTATTTTATTAACTGGCCAAAAAATTTTTACCAGCCTGGAAGAATTGGAATTGGTGTTAAATGAGTACCATTTACTCTGGATATTTTTTTGGATTAATTGTGATAAATTCAGAAATATCTAAGAAATAGATTTATTCTAGCACTTTTTTTATCAACTGGCCCAGAAGAATTGGAATTGGTGTTGAATAGACACCATTTACTCCGGACATTTTCTTGAATTAATTGGAATAAATCCAGAAATATTCAGGAAATAGAAAAGCAAAGGTTAGTATTTTTATGTTTATTAATTGGCTATATCTTTAAGAGGATTCATACTGACACTTCTTTTATTAACCAGCTAAAAGAATTTCTACTGGCCCGGAAGAATTAGAATTGGTGTTGAATAGCCACTATTTACTCTAGGCATTTTCTTGGATTGATTGTAATGAATTCAGAAATACCCAGAAAATGGATTCATTCTAGCTCTTCTTTTATCGACCGGCCCAGAAGAATTGGAATTGGTGTTAAATAAACACTATTTACTCTGGACATTTTCTTGGATTAATTGAAATAAATCCAGAAACATCCGACAAATGGAAAAGCAAAGATTAGTATTTTTATATTTATTAATTGGGCTATGTCTTTAAGAGGATTTATACTGATACTTCTTTTATCAACCGGCTAAAAAAATTTCTACTAGCTCAGAAGAATTGGAATTGGTGTTGAATAAGCACCACTTATTCTGGGCATTTTCTTGAATTGATTATAATAAATTCAGAAATATCTAGGAAATGAATTCATTCTAGCTTTTCTTTTATCAATCAGCCTAGAAGAATTGGAATTGGTGTTGAATAGACACCATTTACTCTGGACATTTTTTTGGATTAATTGAAATGAATCCAGAAACATCTGGAAAATGAAAAAGCAAAGGTTAGTATTTTTATTTTATTAATTGCCTATGTTTTTAAGAGGATTTATACTAACACTTCTTTTATCAACTAGTCAAAAGAATTTCTACTGGCTAGAAGAATTGGTATTGGTATTGAATAGCCACTATTTACTCTGGGCATTTTCTTGGATTAATTGTGATAAATTCAGAAATATTCAGGAAAATGGATTCATTTTAGCACTTCTTTTATCAACCGGCCAAAAGAATTTTTACTAGCCTGAAAGAATTGAAATTGGTATTGAATAGGTACTATTTACTCTAGGCATTTTCTTGGATTGATTGTAATAAATTCAGAAATATTCAGAAAATGAATAATCCAAAAATTTGAAATTGAATAGCTAATTACTTAAAAAAATTAGATATTGATTTTTTTTTTAATGTTAATGGTAAGACCTCACTTTTATCTTATTAAATTTAATCAAAATTTCTTACAAAAAAATTTTATTATATAAACCTAATGCTAAGAATAATAACTCAAACTAACTAAAAATGCCTAATAGACAAGCCTAGTTTTTTATTTGCAGCCTAAACCAAAAAGTTAGATATTGATTTATTATTATAACACTAGTCAGAATATGTCAAATCGTGTACAAATCGGGCATACCTATTTAAAACTGATAGCCACCTGATTGATACCTGATCTTTAAATTCAACAGCCCAATTTATGCCAATTTATGGCACAAATTGGCATAATATTAGGATAAATCAGAGAGTAAAGTAAATTATTGTCACAGCTAATACTGGAATAGCTGATGTTGGAAATCATATGAACAAATCCAAATGTGTATCTGTCATTTGCTAGTATCAAATAAAGTGTGTTACTAAACTCCAGATCATCGTTATCATTATTATTTTTTTGATTAACCACTAGATTTTATATTTTTAGCTTTCAAATTTGAAATGAGTAGATACTGGTTTTCTGGTTTTTTTTTCTTCTCTAACTTTGCTTTTTACTAGGCTCTAATTAACTATAGCAGGAAGTAGAACAGGCTCTCTAGCTAGGGCCTAATTGAAATTTAGATACAAGATACCAATCTTGTAATTTTTTCTTTTTAGATCTACTGTATATTACCGAAAATAAGCAACCCCAATTTTAAAAATCAAAAATAAGAAAAAAAATTTTTTTTCTAAGCTTTGGACTTGAAAATAAGCTATCCCTTCCATTTTACTTGGAAAAATCAAAAAATTTTAGTTGTTTATTTTCGGTAATATACGGTATTTACAAAAATTAACACTTCTCTTTTTTAGCTCTCATATTGAAGGTTGGGATTTTTAACTAGGGACCTAATTGAAATAAGACAGGAAGTACTAGCCTTTAGTTTTATTTCACAAGAACTAACACTTTTTTTGTATTAAGAAGTTTGGAATTGCTAACTAGGTCTGATTGAAATGAGACAGGAAATATCTGTCTCTTGTATTTTTTTAGAACAATTAACAGTGTATTTGGATTCAAAACAAAACAACATAGTAGTTAGGTTCGGGACAAGTGGTATAGATCTTGTATTAAGAAGTTTGAAATCTCTAACTAGGCCAGATTGAATTAAGATGAAAGTACCAGTCTCATTCTTGTATTTTTATTTTTTTTTTTGTTAGTTCTATTTTGCAAGAACTAACACTTTTTTTATTTATACAGTGAGGTTTGGAATCTCTAACTAGGGGCTTTATTGAAATAAGACAATCTTTTAGTTCTATTTTACAAGAACTAGCACTACTCTTGTTTAGAATCACTAACCGAAACTAATTGAAATAAGACAGGAAGCATTTGTCTCTTTCTTGTATTTTTTTTTAGATTCAGGACAAGTGGTAGTGTATAGCAAATAGGATGGTAGTTACGTTCAGGACAAGTAACTTGTATTGAGAAGTTTGGGATTCTAACTGGGCCCGATTTAAATAAAATAAGAAGTACTAGTCTTTTTCTTTATTTTATTTTATTTTATTTTTTTAGTTCTATTTTACAAGAACTAATACCTTAAGTCTTGCATTGTGAGGTTTGGGGTTTCTAACTGGGACCTGATTGAAATGAGATAGAAGATACTAGTTTTTAGTCTTTTAGCTTTATTTCACAAAAATTAATACTTCTCTTGTATTGAAATAAATAGATCTCTTGTATTTTTTTTTAGATTCAGGACAAGTAGTCAGTATATTTAGATTCAGAACAAATGGTACAGTAGTTAGGTTTGGAACAAGTAGCATACTAGTTAGATTTGAGATAAGTAGCACAGTAGCTAGATTTTTTAAACATTGTACAGTAGTATAGTAAATTTAGAATTAGTAGTATTCGAGATTAGTAGTATAGCAATTAGATTCGGATTAGTAATATAACAATTAGATAGTATAGTAGTTAGATTCAGAGTTAGTAATATGGTAGTTAGATTCGGGATCAGTAGTTAGATTTGAGATTAGTAGCATGGTAATTAGATTCGAGGTTAGTAACTTGGTAGCTAGATTCAGGATTAGTAGTATGATAGTTAATAACACAGTAGTTAGATTCAGGATGTAGCATAGTGAGATATAGCATAAAAATCAATAAATTGTAAAATATATATATATTTTTTTATATCTTTGGCAAGTTTCGCCATAACATTGGTCCCAGCTATTATATAGTTAACTCTAGTATGCTACTTAGTGTTACAGGACCTTCTTGTCCGACATTCTCCGGTTCTCTCATTAGGGCCTAGATCTAACTGCCTGCACAACACTCCAGAGAGGTCGAATCATCTTTCTATTGTACTGGGATTTCACTAGCCAATTCGGTGTTGCTACGAGTTCTTGTAGTATCTTTATCAGACTCGGCCTCACATTACATCTCATGACTTTGGTTATTCCAAATCGGGGTTCTAACATGCCTCATTTCATAGCCACAACGTCTTGGAATAACTATTCCCTGAATATATCCATCTGTAGATATCCCAAGTTCGCTGTATCCTGCAGTGTTTTACTTTCATATTTGGGTTTTTATTATTTTACTGCTGGGAGAAATTAAACCGGCAACCTTCTGATTTGCAACCTGAGAGCATAACCGCTATGCTATCGACCCGCAGGTCTGTAAAATATTTTTATTTTTTATTTTGAATAAAATAATAATAAAAATAATAATAATAATAAAGTTAATTACAAATTGACAATTTTGATTCTATTTACTTTATAGATAATTAATTATCCAAATGTCTTATACAGAAAATCATTTCACAGACAGAAGTTAAGATTAGTGCAATTTATAAAAAAAACTTAATAAAGCGATTGATTATCTATAAAGTAAGCAGAATCGGATTACTTACAGTTTTTTATCTTTGATCAAAATTATTTGACATCATAATAAAATCACTAATTTGTAATTAACTTTTTATTGTTACTACTATTTTTTTTATTCAAAATAAAAAAATTTTACAATTTACTAATCATTTTGCTATACTCCATACTACATTCCGAATTTAACTACCATTTTAACTATCATACTATTTAACTACCATGCAACTAATTCTGAATCTAACTACTGTACTATGCTACTAATCTCAAATCTAACTACTATATTACTAATCCCAAACCTAATTGCTATACAGTATAACCTCGATATAACGAAACTCTGGAGCTGGAGTGTTTGGTTCGATATATCAAGGTTTCAGTCCATTGAGGTACCTTGCTATAACGAATCCATATATAATTTTATAAAATATTCAGTTTACAAATAATATCCCTTGATATAACGAACATATGAAGGCTTTGTAGTAGAAAGGGCCGAAACTACCTAAAAAATGAAAATTGAGTTTTTGTTAGATCTAAATAAACTTTGACACAAGCTACATTTTTCAATTATAAATAAAAATCGATTTACATAATAAAAAATCGAGTAATGCGATCTTACAAAAAAAGTTATACAAAATAATCGGAATCTAAAAATAGAAAAGAAGTTAAAGAAATGATCGACATTCTAAAAATAACTAATCAAAATTTTATTTTTTCGAAATCGTTAGAGACAATAGGCTTTCCTGTAGACTTCAACGTCTTCTTTACTAAAATTATTTATTTCTCAAGTCTTGTGCTCTTGAGCTCTAACTTCTTTTTTTTTTTTTTCTTAGGCGTTCGATCCACTCTTTTTGTAGATCTCAGTGCTAAACATCAAGAGCTCCAAGACAGCATTTGCTTTGGACTTAAGCTAGGAACTAGTCAAACGATAAGTATCAACTTTTCTCTTCCTTGTTCTGTTTAATTTCTTCTCTTTTCGTAGGAACTAAATCTTTTTTCCTTTATATAGGTCTGGGTTTCGTTGGAACACGAAATTAGTACTAGACAATAGAGATTTAGACTTGGGTGGGGAACCGGTCTAATGATAAGTGCTAGTTTCTCTTTTCTTGTTCTGTTTAATTTCTTCTATTTTCACGAAAACTAATTCTTTTTTTCTTCCTGTAGATCTGGGCTTCGTTGAACGCGAAATTGACATTAGACAATAGAGATTGGACATTGGTAGGGAATTGAGAGCTGTTCTAACAATAAGTACAAGTTTTTCTTTTGTTCTGTTTATACTTTTTTTTTTTTTTTAATAAGAACTAAAATTTTTTCCTGTAGGTCTGTGCTTCGTTGAATGCGAAATTGCCACTGGACAATAAAGATTGGACATGGGTGGGGAATTGAGAACTGGTTTAACGATAAATTACCAGGTTCTCTTTCTTTTGTTTCGTGTATGGTTTTTTTTTTCTTATAAGGAACCAAAACTTTCTTCTTGTAGGTCTGGACGTGAAATTGGCGCTGGTAATAGAGATTGGACGTGGGTGGGTAATTGGTCTAACGGTAAGTACCGATTTTTCTTTCTTTTGTTCTGTGTAAGTTTTTTTTTTCACAAGAACTAAAACTTTTTTCCTGCAGGTCTGGGCTTTATTGGAACGTGAAATTGGCACTGGACAATGATGATTGAACGTGGATAGATAAGTGAGACTAGCTTAATGATAAGTAACAGTTTCTTTTTCGCTTTTTTTGTGTTTATTTCTATTTTTCTTAACATTCTTTTTTTTTTCTGTAGTCTAGACTTTGTTGGAACACAAAACTGACACTGGGACCTGAGACGGAAAATGAGACCTCTTTAATACCATTGGAAGTACTATTTTAGTCTTTCTGCTTTATTTCGTTAGCATAGTTACTAACATTTCTCTTTTCTCGTAGATACAATGAACTCATATTGAATAATGAACTTGGGCGTTAAGGTAAATTCTGGTTCTTTTTGTCTTCATTGTCTTATTTTTTTTTATTAATGTTTCTTCTTCAACAGGACTTTCGTCAAGGGCCTTAGTCATGTAAGGGTTATTTATTTTCATTAATGTTTCGTTTATAGTTACTATTAATGATACTTATTCAATAACTAGCATATTTTCTTTTCAATATACAACTACTGCAAATTTGTGAGATGTGGGCATAACATATGCGAGATAAGTATTTGCTTTGTGTTTGTTATTTTTTATTCTTCGTTCCATTATTTTAAGTCTTTTTTTTTTAGGTTTTTTATCGTCGCATGTTACAATTCTTATGCGCGATGATATAACAATGACAATAGCATTCACGCGGGGGTTTAAAAAATCTCTACTTAGGTATTATTACTTTACCTGGGTTATTCGGGTAATTTATTATATATTTCGGGTAACCATATAACAGCAATTTCTACCCCTACACGCGAGGATAGTTATTGATTCTCATGAGATTGCCGTTATAACTGATCAGCGTAATGGATAGGATGATCGAATTATAGATATTGCATGATTGCATAATGGTAGTATTATTATTTATAGATTATCTTCACATGTATAAGTGTATGTGTATAATTATATGTATAATAGATTTAAAAATAATAAATTAAAGTATAAAAGAATTATTTTTGATTATAATAAAAAAAAAAAAAAAACAGTTTTG